TATCTATATCGATCTATATCTATCTATATCGATCTATATCTATCTATATCTATCTATCTCTATCTATATCTATCTATATCTATCTATATCGATCTATATCTATCTATATCGATTTATATCTATCTATATCTATCTATATCTATCTATATCTATCTATATCGATCTATATCTATCTATATCTATCTATATCTATCTATATCTATCTATATCTTTATATATCTATCTATATCTATCTATATCTATCTATATCTATCTATATCTATCTATATCTATCTATATCTATCTATCTATCTATGTCTCTCTCTCTCTCTATCTCTCCCATCTCCCGATGCAGGCTGCGAAGCCTTGAACATCAAAGGCAGTTTCAAGTTTCTGGAGGCGAACGAGATCGAAGTGCCTCTTGGCTCAAGCGGACGTGGCCACCCTCCATACCCCGCCAACCTACCCACTGCCAAGGAAGGCCATGGAGAATGTCACTTGACTGCCGTGGGGTCCCGGTGAGGTTTGTGGCTTGGTGTGGCGGAAAGGAAAGGCCATCTCTGAAGTTGCCAAGGTCCCAAGGTACTTTGATGGCAAAAAATAAAGTTCTAGTCACTTAGTATGTTCAATGGGAGTCAAAATCTGCAGACATCCAAGAAGTCTCAAATCATCGTATAGATTTGCAGGTACTGCGGCATTTTTCTTAGCTGTAGCTGTAGCTGCAAAGCTTCAAAGGTGGTAGAACCCTGTTGTAATTTGGGGAAACGCTGAGGATCATCCAGTAATTGTGGGATGAATATCATAAAGCGACTGCAGTGTTTGTTTTCCAGTCACTATGCAGAAACTGCTTCAGCCTCATTAGTACTTCTTGCCCGACATGGCCTGCCTGTTCAGGATGGGCCAGCCTACGACGTCAGTTGGATTTGCGACGATGTCTGAGTCACCCAACGAGTGATGTCAGCGCATGCTGTTGCCAGATCTGACTTGTACTTTGCCTCCGGCAATAGACTCATTAGACTTTTGCGGGTGCAAATGGGTGCAATGTTGGTGTTGCAAGACTGGTGCTATGTCTGCTATGCAAAGCTAGCGCAGGCGCCCAGGACGATAATGATTTTGGCCACGGTTGCATGGACCGCACGCTGAAGCGAGCCTAGGGTTTGCTACTTTCACCACCCAGCTTGCTCGTCGCCTTTTCGTAGTCGAGTTGTTCCTGTAGCGCATCTCGCTGTAGCTGTGTGTTTCTTGAGGATGACGAGGTTGAGCTGGGTGATCAGCGGCTGATCTTATGGTTTGAGATGTTTGAGGACCTTGTACAAAAGCCGAAAAGAAAAACATGTCACGAATGGCCTTGAATAAACTGTGACTATATCATTCGATAGCTAAGCCATATGATGCGCCTTATATCACAGTGCAGTGTTCCAACAGCAGTCTCGCGGATCCGCGCCCTGCGCTGATCCCGTGACGCCATGGCAGAATCCCTGGCCTGGCTGCAGCAACCTGCCACTAAAGATGCGGCGATTCGCTGTGGTTTCCTATGATCAAATCAGTTCAATATGTTCAATATGTTCAGTTTACAGTTTTTGCAGCATTTCATTGACACTGGAAGTCGGACTTGCTAGAGATGAATACTTGCTAGGAGGTTTGCTCAGATGTGTCAACCAGTACAATCTATCTTGATGCGATGACTCCTTTTGAAACTAGTACCTGTGATGCTCAGATTGGGGCAAACCCCAAAGTGCGGTTTTCAAAACCCAGGTGAAAGAGCATGAAAGGTCTGTAGAAAGCCTTCTGTAGCTGGTTGCACATCAGATGGTTTGCCGGTGGAAATATGTTTGCCTCGCAGGTACTGCTTACCTGACAATGCCCTAATAGTTCAGGATGGGCCAGCCTACGACGTCAGTTGGATTTGCGACGATGTCTGAGTCACCCAACGAGTGATGTCAGCGCACTGTTCCTGTTGCCAGATTAGATTTTCTGACCTGCCCAACCCAATCGTGACAGTGTTTTGCTACGCGCAGCAGACTTGTGTGGTGCAAGGTTGTTGTTCAAGAAAATGCTAGAGGGCGTGCGGGTTGGGCCCAGGATGGTCAGTTTCGAGTTGTTTTTGCATGTTTTGGCCATGTTTGCATGGTGTAGCACCTGACCGTGCCTCGCTCAAGCGAGCCTGGGACTTGCACCCAGCTTGCTCATCGACTTTTCGTATTTGTGTTTGCCTATTTGAGTGCTTCTGAAACTGGGATATACCCCGACTAGCAGCGACTAGCAGATGTCCAATATTTCGCCTACAACGCATCTAGTTGGGTCTGTTGACAAAGAGGATGCTGGTTTTTCGCTGGGTGATCCATGCTGATCCGCTTACAAGGTCTGAGACCTTGTGCGATTTCGCAGCGCCCTGCGCGGAAAATTTCAAGAATGGCCTTCAGACCCTTCAGTGATCTCAAGTGAACTATGACTATGACCATAATTATAGTATATAATAGTATATATTATAGTACAGCAAACCCCAATATCATACAGATTCATCGTGTAGTTCTGTTTGTTGAGAGATGATTTTTGAGCGTGGTCACCGGGTTATCCACTTCTGGTCTGAGAGCTTGTACGAGAGCATCATAACCTTGCACGGAAGGTCACAAGTGTCCCAGAATCAACTGAGTATGCTGTTATCTGATATTATGTAAGGCATTATTTAATGTTAAGTGATCAATGTGATGTTATGTGATGTTATGTAAGGTATATTCTTGCACTGTCTAGCGCACTTCCCATGCTTCCCCTTTCGCCCGTCATAATGCCTCCTGGCCTGCAGGCTGGCTGGAAGCGACGACAAAGTCATTCAACTCTGGAGGACTAGAAGTTTGACGATGGCAGTGCCGCAAGCTTCGCAAATCACAATGGCCAGTTTATCTGTCCCATGGACATTGACAATATATATCAGCGGCATTCTGCCAATTTCTGCCATGTTTCATGGTGATGTGGTAAACCCAAGAATAAACCATCCCCAAGAAACATGGCAAAATGCCGATTTTTTAGCACTTTTATGGGGGATTCCCTTTCGATCCCCAGCTGCGAAGGAGGTTCCGGACCCTGCCCAGGCTCAACAGGCAACGAGCCTCTCAGATTTTGGACATGCCTGGGATCACCACCGAAGATCGGCAGTTTAAATCGTATCTCCCAATTTTTGTTGGTTAAATATGGTTAAATCACCCCAATTGTTGGTGAAATCATCTGAAATCATCATTGAAATCTGGCTGAGTTCTGCTTACAGCAGCTGCTTTGCCAGGCAGGCCCAATGCCTGTGGGTGCCGTCCTCTCGGAGAAAACAACTCCAAAGGCCGAGATTCGATCTCTATGGCGACCTGATGCGACTTGAGATGACCTGAAAATGCTCAAAAGATATTTATAAAACATATGAGATCATACGAGAATGTGGTCTTTCAGGTTCGAATTCTTGTTACTTGCTACATCTTGTCAGATTCACTGGACACTTTCAAAAAGCAAACAGGTGTACATCAAACACGAAGTGACAGGTGTCTGAAATCACTGAAGTGCCTGCACCGGCTCCAGCTCCTGAGGCGATCCAGCTTGAGAGGCTTTATTCCGAAAATTTTGATCAATATCAAACAATTAAAAACAATATCAATGATCTATGAACCATGTTTGAAAAGGTGAGTTTATCCCCGCTCTCCGTGAACTGAGGGTGTCTTAATCAGCTTTGAACCCCAGAAACCATGAGAAGCATTGAGAAAACGATTATATTTGACTTGCGATCGCTTGTTTATAACAGTTTTTTTTGTAATGAATTTGATTATAAGAAGTCCATGGTCCATGATGGTCAAACTTGCACCAGTCGGGCAGTGCATTCTTGCAGGCCCAGCTGAAAGCCAATCTCTACCCAGCAGAAATGCTATGCACACCCATCAGCAATCATATCCCAACATCTGCCAATGAAGTAGAATATTCCGTCCTTGATTCATTGATTTATACATACATACATGATCATTCATGCATGCATCCATGCATCCATGCATCCATACACCCATACATACATGCATCCATGCATCCATGCATCCATGCATCCATGCATCCATGCACCCATGCATCCTTACCTGCCTACCTACCTACCTACTTACCTACGTCCGTAGGTGCGTACGTACGTACGTACGTACGTACGTGCATGCATGTATCTCGCACAGACACACATGCACATCCTACTATGATTCTGTAATATATATATATATATCTATTAACATATATACATATATAGCAGGTATCATTTTATACACTTACAGTATATTCTACATTGATATTTTGCTTCGCCATCCATTTTTCTGGCAGGAGATCCCAGTTCCAGAACCAGTGCCGGATCCTGTGGAGGACATGTGTAGATCATCTAGATCCCACCGCCCATTTTCATGTTCCATAGATGAGAATACCAATGGCAAATGGCATTTGTATTCACTTACCCTCTGGTTATTTCACATAGCCATGGAAAATGGTCCAGTTATAGATGGTTTACCTATTAAAATTGGTGATTTTCCATGGCTATGTTAAATAACCAGAGGGTATATTCACTTGTAATAGGTAAATGATGATCCACCAATTTTGGGGTGTTCCACTGACATTTTGGCCATGACACCAGGTTTCAAGGCCAATTGCCAATGGTTGGTGAGTTTGTATTCCCAGTTGGGGCCAGTTGCATCATGTTGATGGATATGACGTATATCCCCTACGGTGTATTACCCCGCCATTTCAATACACCCAATATTTCAATATCAACATCTCCCCTCTTCATCATTTTCCCAGATATGGAACAATGGTGGACTACACGTTTGCCATGTGCCCAGCACTAAGGGTACAGGATGAATTATAGTGAACCATAGGGATGGGTGAAAACTAAAACCTATGATGCATTTTTTGGGATGAACATCAATCAACATGCACAACAAATTCAATTATTGTGACAACTTGGTTCAACGTTTTTTTTTTTAAATCACAGAATCAAAACAACATACATATGTACATGTTTATTATATAGCATCTATAACATCTCCCCAAATTGATTGATGCGAATTCAAACATCCCAAATTGCCATTTTAGACATGATGATAAACTACTGGATTTAGGAGGAACATCCAGAAAAACAACCTGCATGTTCAGACACACCAACAAAAAGAAGGGATACATTAACCACTCTTGTGTCTTTTCCTTCGCGGTTTGTTGGAAAATGGCCTAAAACCATATTTTTTCACCCAAAGAATGAGATCGGAATCTCAAGCTCCGGTGCCAGGAGAAGCCACTGCCTGCGGCGCCCGCGTCATCTGCGGCACCCGCGGCACCAGCGGCACCCGTGGTACCTGCGGCACCCGCAGCACCCGCGGCACCGGTGGAGTTGGTTGGAACGGTCGGAAAGGAGGAACCAGCGCCGCCGGCTGCGGAGCCGTTGGCCGCATGGGCAGGGGAACCCAGTTTTTTTAGCTCAAGGGGAGCTGACCAACAGAAATGGGGCACATGGGGGGAAATCCATGGATCAGCAAGCTAAGTTTCGATATGTTTCGATGAAACTTGATGATCGCCGCAAACATTGGGACTCAAGCAATTGAAATGGGGCATTGCCATTTAGACTACTTGAAAAATGAGTACTGTATATGATTGAACCAACCAAATGGGGAATGGGGATAGAACCAGGGGCTTGAACTTGAATAAACCATGGAACCTTGGGACTTCGTCAACTCAAACGGGGATATACAGTAGCGTGTAGCTCACCTAAGACGGATTACACCAAATAACTAGTAACTAGATCATCAGTATCTGAATACTATTGTAGATGCAATTAACTAAGTTATTATCCAGCCAGTAATTTTACTGGTAATACCAATGACATGGGATACCGCAATTGTGGTCAGAACCAAAGCCAACTCGATGGAGACCAAGCAACTCATAATCACAGTGACTCGTCGGCTTTGGTGCTGCGGCACACTGAGGTTCAGTTTCAAGAAAAAGCCAGGCCCAGCGACACTTTTGATCAGGATGATAGTGAGCAAGAGAAACCCGGACTGATGATAGCCACGAAGCATCACGAAGCTAAAGATTAAGGATTGCCTGAAGATTAAGAATTGCTGCCCAAATTGCCCAAGTACTTTTTTGTTTTCATCCAAATTGTCCGTACATATCCGCAGAACTTGTTGCACCAATGATAGGCGCTCATCTGTGTCGATCCTCAATTGTAGGTGTAGTATCAACAGCAACACCATTGTATTGAGCCACCTTTGAATGTGGTATCAACGTTTGCAAGCAAGAGGCCGTGTCGGTAATGACATCGCTGATTGACATTATGATTTGTTAAATGTCCAAAACTGTGGTATTTTGCATATTTTCAATTTCATTCATCAAATTAGCGGTTCATTTTCTATGGAAGGGTTGCCTCAAAACGGGAAATCTGTGTGTTTTACCACAACGAAACTGTCACTTCTTGATCCCGGTCCTTCTTGCAAAAGCTTGGCCCTATTTTTCAACCACAAAGTTCGCGAAGTTTGTTGAGGACGTTGCCTGTGTCAGTTTTTCGCCACAGTAGCGTAGCATGACGTATGTGTGAAAGTGCAAGAGAACGCACAGTAGCGTAGCATGACGTATGTGCGGAAGTGCAAATGAACGTTATTATATAGCTCACCCATGCTCACCCCACCCCACTCCCCCACCCCCCAACAAACATCAACACGCACATGGCCCCTTGCGAGCGTTGACGCCTTGAACATCAATGCTTGCTCCTTCAGTATTTCAGCCTGTTCACTGTTCTTTACTTGGCTTTTGTTCCTGAGAGCAGATCGAATTCATAACCCATCAGAATTCAGATGTCAGGCCTCCAACTTTTCTCCCCGACTCAACATGTGAGCTGCGCTGCAAGCGGCAGGTGCCAACTTGCACGCACGCGTGTAGCTGTGGAACATGCACAGCTGAAGGTGCAGTTGTGTCGATGCAGGATTGGACTGTTACACTGTAGAGTCAATGGATTGTGATTGTAATGGATATCTAACTTTTTTTAAAGGTCCTAATTAGTGCAGGATAGTGGTCTTGATCTGAGTTGATCCGAAGCTGAAATCCCCTGGGCGTGAGGGACTCTGCTGTGGGTTGATGATTAGTTCCAGTATTATATATTGGGGACTGTCATAATCCATGAGAGTTTTGAATTGGGAATGCCGTTCCTGATCAAGCAAGAAAAAGGGATGAGAGTCTTGAACACTGAGCAGTGACCAGTTGACCCTTAGGGTAGCATCATTGATCACTGGCTCAAGTTTTGTGGATCTCATCAGTGAAGGCACCCCGGGGCTTTTGATAGTCACAAAGCTCATGGCGACAAATCTCCTTTTCGGATATTCCTGTTGCTTGATTGCTGGCATCGGTTTCGCAGTGAACTACCTGCCGGTCAAGAGCTGTGACGTTGGTGATGGAATCTTTTTCTCTGCGGCGATGTCAGTAGGAATCCTTCTCGTGGGCTTGGTCACAGGGATGTTCCTCACCTCAACACCAAATGTCGAAATCCCAGCCTTCGAGCCTTTAGCTGCAGCTGGTGGGGCCATGTGGATGCTGGGAAATTTGATGTGCCCATACATCATCCAGACCATCGGCCTCGGCCTTGGCCTCACCGTTTAGGATCTGAGCAATATGCTCATGGGATGGGTCACAGGCTACTTGGGGCTTTTTGGTCTTCCCAAAGAACAGGATGTGAAGCAGCCATGGGCCAACTTTGTTGGCCTGGTGCTGGCATCTGTCTCGTTGATTTTCTTTTCCCTTGCATCTGCATTTGATGACTTCGAACCTGCACGAGAGGTCGAGATAAAGAACGTAAATTCGGAAGCCTCAACAGCGGCTTCTTCATGTGGAGATTTACCGGACATCGAAGATGGGCAGACGACCATGCAGAAGCCTGCGACACTGAAACATGGGGAGCGAGGGGATGCCGGTTCAGATCGCGCAAATCGCATGAAGGCAATGTTGGGCTTCTCAATGGCAATCCTAGCAGGCGTTTTGTTCGGCTCAACGTTCGATTTGCCAATGGATCTCAAGAATGGCATCTTTGGTCCAGACCACAGCCAGCACATCATGGACTGTGTTTAGCCATTTCATCGGTATCTCTGCTGCAGCTTCGTTTGCCCTTACAGTCTACATCACGGTGAGGGGGAAGAAGAGCCAGCTGCCACGGCAGCTCATCGTTCCTTCTTTGGTCTCTGGTGTGATTTGGGGGATCGCGCAAGTGGCATGGTTCCAAGCAAACATTGAGGTGGGTTTCGCGATAGCGTTTCCGATCATCGGTAGCCTTCCAGGCATCATCGGGCTTTTCATTGGATGCTGCTGTCTAGGAGAAGTCAGGACTACACGGAGCCGCATATTTTCACTTGTCGGCCTGCTTCTGAGAGTACCAGGAGTCCTTCTTATCGCCCTTTCCTCAGTGTAGTTCAGATATTAATTAGTTGAGAACCAGGACTGCTGCAATGTCGGTGGTAGATGGATGACTAGTGAAGTGACTAGGGTCATTTCCATCCACTCCGATAATCCTAATTAGAAAGATTTTCTGTTGGTTTATTCTCCTTTAGTACTGCGAGCGTTTACGCAAGTTTCAATGCTTCTGCAGCTCATGTAGACCAGATTATGAAGCTAGATTTTTCCCTGCTTAAGTCTTGGTGAGATTCTGGAACGGCACCTCTGGTGTTGGTGTTCTAGTTCATCACCAAGCATATCTTGCCACGCCCTTTTTTTCCTTTGCGCTCGAATGCTCCTGCAATCCGATGGACCAGCATCAATCCATTATTTTCCATTGTACAAATATCGATAGAATGTATAGTCTATCTATGTCTATCTACTGTACAGGAGTTCCGAGTAGCCCTCAACTGGCAACCTCTTGTGGACCTTGCGGTTTGGGGTTGAAGTCAAAAAAATGATCATGGGTTTTAACCATCAAAAATGGGGATAGGCTGCCGGCTTTTTTTTTAAAGTGAGAAATGGTGCTTGGCTGATGTTGGGGAGTTAAGCAGCAAACAAACGGGGGTTATGACCAAACATAATGAGGACAGAATGAAGATGTGATGGGATATATAAACCAGCATGCTCAGCAGCTTGGGACCCCCGTGGCTTTCATATGATCCCTATTATTTTCGATATAAATATCATACTATGGCACTTATATATGGATGCATACAAATAAGTATATATAACATGTTGTAAGTTATAAGTTATAAGTATAAGATGTTGTAACCAAGAATCATGCAATCACTAGCCGCCAGAAATAGTGGATACATCGCAAAAATAGGAACCTGAATCCAGTTAATGCCATCTTTGTTGCTGTAAACCAGCTTAAATCACCCATTTACACTGTAGAGTATTCTGGAATTGGTCGAAATTGGGGACCAGTAACGTTGGATAGTTTGATACTGTACAGAAAATGACACAGACACACACACAGACACCTTTCCCACATTCCATTGGAAGTGTTTGGAGACCTTGTTAGGAAAGAGGGTCTCCCAGCGGTTGTCCTTGTGGGGCTGCCCTTTTCAGACCAGTTTTCAGTGAATTGCCTTGGTGTTTCAGATGTTCAAAGCGCTTGCAATTTTGTGTCTAAACCAACAGACTAGGACCAGACATGACCAGAATAGGTCCTAGGATGTCCTAGGTATCCTAGGTATCCTAGATTTGGAGCCCGACCCAGGCGAAGACCTTGGCACAAGATCCTCATCTCCGTTACAGTGCGGTGGGCGCCAGCGCTGGCGCTGCCATTGTGGGTGCAGGTGGTGCAGCAACAGGACTCACCACTGGGAGCCTTCTCGGAGCGGCAGTAGGCCGGAGGACCAGTAGATGTGCAGTGCCTGCGGTTTGGCCCCCCAGTTGGTTGATGATTCTATGATGTTATATGGGGTTAATTATTCTATCCAATATATTGGGGATTATCACAATCCACTGTGGAAAATCATATTAATTAACCAGTAGAAAGGGACGACAGAGGGTTTTGAACACTGCCCAGATGAGTCTTCAAATTTCAATGGACTTCCCTGGCACTTGTAGGTTGTTGGGTTGAACAGCATTTTGAATATATATATAATATAAGAACTAGTAGGAATTGTTGAAGCCATACCCATAGATATTTGCAGCTCGATATTTTTTACATATCATATTACTTTATCAATTGTCAATTATCATTGTTCTGATATGTTCTGATAACCGGTTATTAATTAATACGATTATATATTATATTTTTCAAATATTGTGCAATCCCCAATATTTGGGGTAACAACCATAGTTTCAACCGTAGGTGTTCCCTTGAACCAACGCAGTGAAACATAGTAAGTAATTCAGAAACATAATGATCCAACTCAAAAGACACATAACATTGCAGAAAGGTCAATAAATTATTAGATAAATATAAAATCACTCGAACTCGACACTTATTACACCATAGTAATTCTATAGATCCTTCTATCTTTAATCATTCATAAAATCTATCTTTCTGGACTTACCCTAATTCCATTGACACCGCCTACACAGGCGTCATTCCTGCAGTCTTCACCTTCGGCCTGTCGATCCCCTTCTGCGCTGCTGTGGGCGGCGGAGCAGGCCGCAAGCGACATGCCTGATGGCCATGCTGTCAAGGTAAAATTGTTTTTTTCTTTTATATCAGATCTATTATTTTTATACATATTATTTGTATATATTTATATATATAAATATAATCTATGTATATCTCTACTGTGTTGTGGAAGATGTTATAATCTTTTATTCCAGGGGTTCTTGCGGTAGCTGTATAGGCCGGTGTTTGATCGAGGTGCTCACTCTGGGCCGCGGCATTTTCCCTGTCAATTTCCGCATCAAGTGGCTCTTGTGAAATCTCCAAGTGCATTTCGACTGTGCAGGCTCGCACAAAGTTTGCGTCGCGGTTCTGGGCTCGGGCATTTTTCCTGCAAATTTCCGTGTAAAGTGGCTCTTGTGAAACGTCCAAGTGCATTTCGACTGCGCAGGCTCGGTCCCCGGTCTTGGTCTGCGGCATTTTCCCTGTAAATTCGCACAAAAAATGGCTCTTAAGTGCATTTCGACAGCGCAGGCTCGCACAAAGTGTGGGCCGCAGTCTTGGGATCTGTCCTCCCCCTCAACATCATCATCTTCCTCCTCCTCCTCCTCAACATCATCATCTTCCTCGCCCTTGACATCATCATCCTCAACATGATCATTCTCCACCTCATCTTCCGCCACATCATCATCATCATCATCATCATCATCATCATCACCATCATCATCCACCTTTTCTTCCGCAACTTTATCATCCTTTTCATCATCTTCCCCAACTTCATCATCCTCCACTTCATCTTCCACATTGTCATCCTCATCCTCATCCTCCTCAACATCATCATCCTCCACATCATCATCCTCCACCTCATACTCCTGCACCTCATCATCGTCAACATCATCATCCTCAACATCATCATCCTCAACATCATTGTCCGCAACATTGTCCTCCTCCTCCTCATCACCATCATCATATCATCCACATTATCATACATTATCCCCCCACTCCCCCACACTGTTTGGGGTCTCTTGCTGGGAAAAAAGATGTATGTAATGTTACGGCCAGGAGAGGGGTGCTGGTCGGGGAAGTGCGTTTTGACTGCGCAGGGCCATTGTTTGGGATGTCGGGTTGCCCAAATGGCTGACGAGATTTGTTTCCAATACACAAAACCCTGAACCATAAACCCTAAATCTAAAACCTTAAAACCTGAAACCCGAAGTAAGCCTTGAAAGTACAATCTTATTAAAACCGTGATGAAAACCTTAAAACCCTCAATGAAACCCTAAAGAAACCCGAAGCAAACCCCAAACAAACCCTAAACAAACCCTAAAGAGTTGGTCACATGATAAACCTCTGGGCGGCACCCCTGGCCCGGGGGTAATATTATAGATCATTGCATACACAATGTCACAATGCATTAAGTACGTGGCATGTATTGATGTGAAGGTATTGTACTTACAACGATGTTTTGATATGTTTCGATGACAGGATTGGCTGTGGGCGCTGCCAGCGGCGCCACTGCTGGTGCTTTGGCAGGTGGCGCAACAGGCCGGGAGAGAGAGAGTTTTAACCGTACATGTCGAGTCGCGACCTCTTTTACCCTTTGCTAATCAAACATGGTTGGCTGGGAAATCCCCGAACCAAGTGGAGATTTTCAATAGCGGTGAAAGGTTGATCCACATCACTGAATCACAGTTTCAAAATATGACACCTGCGATGCACTCAGCTGCCCAGAGGCTATCAAGCGTACAATCATCGTCACGAGATCCGAGCATCTGCGAACAAGACCTTGGAACAGGCACGGCCAAGTGGAGGTGTACACCAAGGATCTTCAAACCTTGAGCCATGAGCAACTGTAGAAACAACACCAAACTTTTGGGATATCCGCCACTCACATCCAAAATTTCAGGTCACGACCAGCGCAGACTTTGTAAAAGCGAGGCCAGCAAGACTGTTGTGCCACTGGGGCCCACTGGCAATCAGAGCTATGCAATTGCATGTGATAGGATCTGATAGGATAGGGTTCTGCCTGGAATGAAGGTCTCACAGTGGTAAGGATAGAAACCTCTCTCTCATTCCCGAAATGTAGACCATGGCTCAGATCAGACACAAAGAGCTGTGGAAAAAGAGTTGCCATGTGGTAAGAACATGTAGTTTACGTCCCTGCGTCTTAGATCAGGTGGTGTTCCAGCACATCCCAAGCTTCACAATTCACCACATCCATGAGTTGGGTGTGACACACATGTCCTTACACAATTTCCAAGGTTTCATACTAAAGATGAACTCCAAACTTCGGGTTCCCTTGGTACCAAAGTCATGTCCCCTGATCAGCAGTTCTCCCGCTGGGTCGTGCAGGGCCAACGCTGCGACATCCTTCCTATCAGAACGTGCCACTGTGGCCAGGGCCCGTCTCATGGGAGGTGCGCGATTGCATTGATTGCATTACCACCCCCCGTATGTGCCGAAGCAAAAGAAACACGCTACATTATCTTGTGAACAAAAGAATAGACACAAAATGACAAAAACAGTGTTTTTTTCTTTTTTGTGGTTATTTGTACCCCCCTCTGTACTACCAGTTTTTTTTCCTGGGGGTTCAGTACGCTTTTTAAAAAACACTATTTTCCAAAAATCTAGCAGACAGTGGGTGAGGGTCCCGGGGCCAGGAATAAAATATCATACCAAAAAAGGCCCAGTTTTTTTTATCAAAGCTTCCTGACGTACAGTGATAGGAAATCAATTTCTGTCTGTTGTGATTGAGGGGGGGTTGATCTATCAGTCTGTGTATGTAAGGCATCAGGAAATCAATCATGCATGACTCTGATAATGGGTAAGTTTGTAGAATTCCCAAGGCTAGTAGCCAGGAATTTGAAGGTGGATGGACCAAATGGGAATTTACTAGAACATATCTAAATGTCAAACCCGAGGAAAAAATGTACCATGATTAATTGAGTGGGTATGATTCTTTACATGATTTTGCAAAAGGGTACAAACGCATATGTTCACCTTCACCAACCAAAAAAGTGACTTCAAGAGGCCAAGGCGCAGGGGTCAAAAATAAAATCCAAGGGACTGGACCTTTTTTGACTGAATACTTGCGGATGATCTTCAAAGGTTGGCCCACAGGAAAAAAGTCGCATCACCAGGCCAATCATCCACAGATAGGACATGATGGGACGAATTCAAGAATTTTGTGTCAACGCGCCCGAATTGCAAAACATGTTTTTTTTTCTGAAAATACATTTGTCCTTGCAAAAGGGGTACAACCACATATGTTCAGCTTCACCAACCAAAAAAAGGTGACTTGAAGAGGCCGAGGCGCAGGTGTCAAAAATAAAATCCAAGGGACTGGACCTTTTTTGACTGAATACTTGCGGATGATCTTCAAAGGTTGGCCCACAGGAAAAAAGTCGCATCACCAGGCCAATCATCCACAGATAGGACATGATGGGACGAATTCAAGAATTTTGTGTCAACGCGCCCAAATTGCAAAACATGTTTTTTTTCTGAAAATACATTTGTCCTTGCAAAAGGGGTACAACCACATATGTTCAGCTTCACCAACCAAAAAAAGGTGACTTGAAGAGGCCGAGGCGCAGGTGTCAAAAATAAAATCCAAGGGGCTGGACCTTTTTTTGGCCGAATTCTTGTGGATGGTCTTCAAAGGCTGGCCCCACAGGAAAAACGTCGCATCACCAGGTCAACCATCCATAGATAGGAAATGATGGGACAAATTGAAGAATTTTGTTCCAACGTGTGGCCAAATTGCAAAACAGGCGTTTTTTTCCTGAAGATACATTTGTCCATGCAAAAGGGTTGCGCATTGCCGTGGGCATCTGCCGGACCGCACTCGTGAAGCCGTGGACTCTGAAAAACTGCGAGCTGTCAGCCGGGAAGTCAGGTGCCAGGAATTCATTTTTTTTCCGTATCAGATTGAGGGGGGAAGATGTGGCATGTTACCAACGCAAGCATCCAGGAAATAATTTTTTTACTTGGATATCAGAGGGGTAAATTTATTGGATGTTGGACGTTGGGCACCAGGAAATTAGCAAAGAAAATTCAAAAAGGTGGTTGGAAGTGAGATTTCGGCTTCAGAGGTTAGGAACCAGGAATTTAAAGCTCTAAAACCTCTCTCAAAGGTTAGGGGTCATAATTTTAGACCAATTTTTTTCTAGGACTGTACCCCACGTTGGAGTACAGACGGGGATTATTTGTTTTGTCGACATCGTGGTGTCTAGGTGATGATATATAGGATATATGATATGTTCTCAGGATAAAGACATTGCGGTTTCACGGAGACGAACCATGTTTGATAAAGTCAAAAACGTGACAACTCGATTATGTACTGCGTTTTTTTTTTAAACAGTGTATTTGCTCTTTGACATGGAATCGAGCATCATATGGAATCGAGCGTGGCCTGGCCAACATGTTTTGAGTATGTCAAGTGAAATACGCGGGGTGATAATAATACAATCGCGTAA